AACCTATCGGGGCCTTGTGTGATTCGCCAAGTTTCGGGACTTAGGTTGCCGGTTTCAACCACTGAATAGCAGGTCCTCGTGACTATGGGGTTCGCCCCGTCTGCTGTTTATCACACTTAGGTGTGTAATAAAAAAAATAGTACCATCACATAATTTGCAAAAGTAACCAGGTTTTGGAGCAAACCAATGTTCTCTTTCAGCAACATAAAATTATATAAGAATAGATCACTGTAACTTCAACATACGCATAATGCCTGTTGTAATTACAGAACAAAACTCTGCAATACACATCGCTGGATCCGGCAACACTGAACGCAGGCCTGCTCGAGAGACAGTTTGCACCAATTTCTTCATAATCCAGAGGACACTCACCAAATAATTAAGTTAGGAAGTCCTCACAACTCTGCGAGCCCACTGTTAACCCATGTAATTTCTGCATAAACAAACACACATTAACATCTGTTTTATTCACCCATTATTCGTACTCCTTTTATCTTTGGCATCATTTCATGAATCACATAGTGTGATACTATTGATGTTAAAAATACGTTAAGATTGCGCCGATGGTAAGACTGTACGGTTTCGTAAAAGTTTGGAGCGTTCGAAACATACAGACAACTAGCACTAAGCTAGCCGATGGCACATCAATATAAAAGCTGGCCCAAGTTGATACATATTAGTTCAGATATACGTAAGCTGCTTTACTCAAAGATGTTATACAGCCTAATGGCTTATATGAATCTCAACACTGGGTCAGATATTATCAAACTAGCTCGACGAAGCCAAGGAATCCATTTTACAGATAAACTCTCACTCTAATTGTGGACTGCAATATGCAATAATGATTTGTTGACGATTCCGTGAAATATACTTAACACTAAATGGACATTGACATAGCAACTCGATGAGAGTAAACACTCCGGTTCGCTCTTTTTTGCAGGTGTCAAATGCTTCAGATTCCTGAAAGCTGTGCTCCAGAGCACGTTGAACTATTTAGTGGACAGAAAAATGGTGAAAATTTATTCTGTGGGAATTCAAAATCTTCTGATGAGAAATAAACAACTCATCACTAAATACATGTGCGATTAGTGGTATTTGTTTAGCAGCGTAGGAATCTCATTTGACTACACGCGGAAAGCTGAATTCTTGAAACATAAATAATGTCATGAAATAGTTCTTCCCAAACAACTCTGCAATATAGAAAACAAAAGCTTGCAGAAATGTATTTTAGGATTTCAAACACTTCGGGAACTTATACAACAGTAAAATCGTCGTGTAGCATCCGAGTTCAAACGAGAAGAAGGCCAGAATCTCACAAGGAGTTTCGCTGCTTCCGATGATTTAACTTGAATAAGAGAACCCATTTTTTCACTGTTTTACCCCAAACAGTTATGGATTGCCTTGTTCTCATTCTCTTCTTAACCACTCCTGCTGTGTTATTATGCACAGTCCTCCAATACAGCAGGAATGTACAAATAAGCGTCGATAGAAAGAGTAAATATCCACCTTCGAATGTCCTGGAAACTGGCGGTTACCACAACCGGTAATCTATCCCATTATGTGGAAGCCGTATAACAAAAACGTCCGTCTACCGTCACTTTCAATTTGTCCTTTGTTTGAATTATGCTAAGTGCACCGAAATACGTCAGCCACTCACCTCGACGGCCAGCCGACTGGGTGCGCGGGCGAACACGTTCACCGTTTGTTGTGGTCGACACAGTCCCAAGCCCGGTGATTGGATCACGTTGCACAGCTGAAATGGACAAATAAATCATACAATTCGTTTCACCATCAGTCCAATTCAAACGATTACTAGGCATGCTCAAGCACAGTAACTTTCACACGTATTAAGAAGACGAAATCTGGAAAACCACTTTGTTTGTTCCTTTTTGCAAAGTTTCCAGGTGAACATGCAAAAACAAGCGGATAGGTGATTGTCTGTATGGATGAGTGGATAGAATCGTTCCTTAAATTCGAAGTCAAAAAGAACTTTATGCCGCACCAACATAAAGGATCAATTTTTGGGATAGATAATGATTTATCATATCGAATGCTACGCAACATTCACATTCAAACCGAAACTATTTGAACACGTATCATTCAAATTTTGACCATCCAGTGTTTTTCTAGTGGTAAACAAGAAGCATGCCACCGCTTATGTCCTCTCCAATCGTTCTTAGCTATACAAACTGACGAAAATCGTGTACAGACTGAGACCGTAATAACTGTTTTACTGTCACATCAGGAACCAGGACACCATTTTACCAAACAGTAAATGATTTTGTGAATAACAACATGAGTTTTGCCAAGGTTCCTGTTATTGGTATCATACTGGTGTCGACCAGCTTGGGACAGTTTTCATACACAATAGTAACTTGTTGTATTTGTGGCTAAGGGTTATTCTGATAGCTTAAACCTGGGTTGACTAAGTTCTGATCTCATGTTCCCTAATTACGAGGGCTACTGAGCTAGTCCGCACTAAGTTAGTGTGCAATATTATTGGGCTATTATGTAATCAGTTTTATGTAACTATTTTTTCAGGAATTTGTTCGGTCAAACCATTTTGCAGTTACAAAAGTATTGCATTTTATCAGTCACACCGGAGATCCGTATTTTGATGTCTATGTCGTATCCAATCCAATTCTGAACATGGTTGTCATTTTGGAAGTGCTCTAGTTAAATCTCTGTATTCACCAATGCTGTGTTGAAAGAGACAGAAGTTCCTGTTGCTTCCGCACGCAGGTCGCGCATTCTACTGCTGCCACCACCATCTTCATTAGAATGTTGTAATTTTCGTAGACAAATAGCGTTCAAGATTTATTTGTTTCTTTGTTTTACCGTGTGCTACTCCTAAGCGTTGTGTAATCTCATCAGTATTGTAAATGGTACACAAGAGAATCATACTCAAAGTGAGCATTTTAATTGTACTTCAACCTACCGGTTTCAACAATTCAGTGAGTTTCCAATTTGGATTAGAAATTAGAAATTCTACCTCTGAAATGAACTCATCAAAGTGGACACGTGAAAGTAGTTCACCGTTGTCATTTGGAAACGTAAGTGAACCTCCGATTATCTTCAATCTATTGTTTGCGTAACACGTGAAACGAAACACGTGAGAGGATACGAAACAAGAGGATTGAAGCAAAAGGCTTGGAGCTGTGTCATTGTCCGTGACGGGAAGAAGGAGGCAAGATGGAGTCATACTGGGAGAAAACCTCCCAAATTGAACAAATGACACCAAGAGTGTTGGTCAAACCTTCACTCAATCATTAAAAGTGCATGCGTTGCTAGTGGCTACATGTGGGAACCACGGAACTAAAAAGGTCAATCATTTTGTACTGAATGTGTGTGTGTGCGACGGTGAATTCTGTATGCTCATACCGTACCTAATACATTCGTTATATGTGTAACTGTGGCATGATATACTGATGTGACTCTCAGATAGATTTTAAGGTCAAAGTCACGTGAAGGCAACCTCAGCTATTCAAATAGAACTGTACCGTACATGCATGCATTGATAGGTTTGGCGGTTTATGCAGCTAGTTGATGGATAGTACGGCTCGATTTTGTCACAAATGACAGATGTCGTTGACTGTTTATACGCAGTAAAACACTATTGCTAATTATCGAAACTCACGCTACGAAATGATCGTCAAAATGCCTCAAAAATGTAATCAGGACAAAAATTACAGGATTTCGATAAGGGTTCGCCGACTTTCTGACGTTTTGTGTGTGGGCGGGTATTTGAAGTCGTTTTGTCAACCAATACGCACACAAAACGCTGGCGATTTTCACCGAGATACAATTGAAGTAAAAAAGCGAACAGTCGGACGTGTAGAACATTGTGATCCTGTCGTCAAAACATGTCCTCTTTGAGATGTATCACATCAACATGTTCAATGGATCACGGGAAGAAGGATTTTCTCCGAACCACCAGGGGATTGAAATAATCGGTTTACATTCATATATGATTGAAAATAACCGCGATAGTTTTGGTGCATTCCGCCAAAAACCAAACACAAATCTGAGCAAATCAATTTTGACGGTCAATGTTTTCAAACCGAACATAGCATATTTCGGGGGAGGGATGGAGCGCAAGCGACGAGACGAGCGGGTCGAGGCGAGGCGAGGCGGGGCGGGGCGCGGGGG